TGAGGGGAGCCGGGCATTATGTCACCGGCAACCTTAGCAGCAGGTCGCTGGGAATTACTCCGGGGCATCGCAGGGCACGGTTTACACCGCGTCATCCGCCCATCCCAGCAGGGGGTTGGATAATGTGGGCGGGGCTTAGTGACCTCGTGGAAGTTTGATGCTGCATTGCAGATCTTTAGGTCAATGGGGAGGAAAAAAAAAAAAAGACTAGGTGCACACTGGCACTGTGCCACGGCCATTTTAATGTAGGGCCCTTGCCCAAGGACAGGACTGGTTGAGTGAAATTATTCTTTTTCAGGTACTTATTCATTTCAATACCGGGCATTTTTACCCCCTTCCTGCCCCGGCCATTTTTCAGGTTTCAGCGCTCACACTTTGAATGACAGTTGCGCGGTGCTTCTTCTCTGACTGTTCAGTGTCAGCCTGGGGACAAATTCAAGATGAATTGGGCTCAGAGGAAATTGGTTGAATGATACTGGCCATTAAACTAATGACATCTAGTGGAAGAAAAAGAGTACTGCAGGTGAAATCTCTGTTACAGCAGAAACTGGTTTTGGGTTTTTATTTTTTAGTGGGCTATTCATTTTTATTTTTTGTTTTGCTAGAGATCTGCTCTAAATACAGCTGGTATATCTTAGATCAGCCTTTCTCAACCAGGGTGCCCAGTCCACAATTGTAGAGGGTGCCTCGGGACCGTCCGCGATTGTAGAGGGTGCCTCGGGACCGTCCGCGATTGCAGAGGGGGCCTCGGGACCGTCCGCGATTGCAGAGGGGGCCTCGGGACCGTCCGCGATTGCAGAGGGGGCCTCGGGACCGTCCGCGATTGCAGGGGGCGCCTCGGGACCGTCCGCGATTGCAGGGGGCGCCTCGGGACCGTCCGCGATTGCAGGGGGCGCCTCGGGACCGTCCGCGATTGCAGGGGGCGCCTCGGGACCGTCCGCGATTGCAGGGGGCGCCTCGGGACCGTCCGCGATTGCAGGGGGCGCCTCGGGACCGTCCGCGATTGCAGGGGGCGCCTCGGGACCGTCCGCGATTGCAGGGGGCGCCTCGGGACCGTCCGCGATTGCAGGGGGCGCCTCGGGACCGTCCGCGATTGCAGGGGGCGCCTCGGGACCGTCCGCGATTGCAGGGGGCGCCTCGGGACCGTCCGCGATTGCAGAGGGGGCGCCTCGGGACCGTCCGCGATTGCAGGGGGCGCCTCGGGACCGTCCGCGATTGCAGGTGGCGCCTCGGGACCGTCCGCGATTGCAGGGGGCGCCCCGGGACCGTCCGCGATTGCAGGGGGCGCCTCGGGACCGTCCGCGATTGCAGAGGGCGCCTCAACTGAAAAAGGTTGAGAAACACTGTCTTTAGATTGTAAGCTCCCAGGATCAGGGCCCTCCTATCCCTCTTGTATTGAACTGTATTGTTGCTGTATTGTCTCCCGTTATATTGTAAAGCTCTGAGCAAACTGTTGGCTCCATAAATCCTGTATAATAATATATAAATCCTGTATAATAATAATAATATATAAATCCTGTATAATAATAAATAATATATAAATCCTGTATAATAATAATAATAAATATATATAAATCCTGTATAATAATATATATAAATCCTGTATAATAATAACAGCTACCAGCATTGTTGTTTTTGTTTTGGCTTTCTGTAATTGCCAACACGGCTACGCTAAGCCCTGGGAGAGGGATGGTCTGCACTCTGAGCCAACCAACACTCTGACAGCATTGCACAGTGCTGTCAGTCTAAAAGAGTGAGGAGCAGGAGGTGAGAGCAGAGATGACCCATACAGTGTGTGCGCTAGGGGTGTGTCCCTGACTAGACTGTGCTGCTCAAATGCCCTGGAAGTCAGGGACAGGGCCATACTGTCATTCTCAGGTCACAAGGAGCATGCTCATAGAAGGAAAGAGCAAAGTGACAGTGATTAGCTGATCACTGTGCTGCTTCTCCTTTTACTGGACAGGCTGGGTGTAGGTTGAGGTCGGCCTAGAGAGAGCAAAGTAACATCGATGAGCTCATTTCTGTGCTGCTTCTCCTTTTACTGGCCAGTCACAGGCTGGGTGTAGGTTCAGGACGACCTGGACAGAGCAAAGTGATAGTGATAAGATCACTTCTGTGCTGCTGCTTCTTTTTTTTTACTGTCCAGTCAGAGCCTGGGGGCAGGTTTAAGGTGGCCTGGAGCATGCTGATAGGAGTAGAGAGAAGCTCATCACTGTGGTGCTTCTCTTTTTACTGTACAGTCACAGGTTAGGTGCAGGTTCAGGATGGCCTGGAGAGAGCAAAGGGACAGTGATAAGCTCATAGAGGATATGTATTGGGCGCAACAATGGAGGAGGCTGTGGGCTGAGAGATGTCAGCGGGGATGGAGGAGACACTGGACAACAGGGACCGGGCAGCACTTCTAGCAGTTGAAGCAAAATCTGTATGTGGAAGAGGATAGAACAGGAGGGCGCTTCTAAGTGCAGTATATCAGGAGAATCTTAAATAATGCCAGTTAGAAACTCGTATTTAAAACAGGCTCAATAAAATCGTCAGAGTGCAGAGGCTCGATCCACCATGCGAGAACCAGCAGCTGCAGGGGGGGGGGGGGGGGAGCTGAGGATCAGATGTCCAAGATAGCCGCTGTAAGTTCTAGGATCGCTGGAGCGCACTGATCGGTCTTGAAGAAGGAGCTTTGCGCATTCTCCGATACGCATCACCGTTCCACACCTGTTCCTCGCCCACGTCTTATCTGGTTGCGGTCCTCTGGACAGTGCGCGCGCTCCAGCGATCCCGGAACTTGCAGCGGCCATCTTGGACATCTGATTCTCAGCTCCCCCTGCAGCTGCTGGCCGGCACAGCGGGTTCTCGCATGGTGGATCAAGCCTCTGCACTCTGACGATTTTATTGAGCCTGTTTTACCTACGAGTTTGTAAATGTTTCCAACCGTCATTATTTAAGATTCTTCAGGATATACTACACTTAACAGAGGAGCTCATCCCTGTGCTGCTTCTCTTTTTACTATACAGTCACAGGCTGGGTGCAGGTTCAGGATGGCCTGGAGCATGCTGATGGGAGCATAGAGCAAAGTGACAGTGATAAGCTCATCACTGAGCTGCTTCTCTTTTTACTATACAGTCACAGGCTGGGTGCAGGTTCAGGATGGCCTAGAGCAGCAATGGGCAAACTACGGCCCGGCGGACCTTTTAATGAATCCGGCCCGCGGAGCTAGGCTCCCGCTAGGCTCCTCTCACAGTCCGCCCTGAAGACCGGTGTAGCATGAAAATCTGTCTCCTATGAGGATCTGTCCCCCTCGACGTATCTGCGCATGTGCCGGAGATCGCCGATCGGCTGCTTTACTGCCTGAAACTGGCACATGCGCAGATACATCGAGGGGGACAGATCCTCATAGGAGACAGATTTTCATGCTACACCGGAACGGCGCGGGAACACGGCGAGAGGAACGCGCGGAGCAAAGGTAAGTGAATTGACACAGGGGGGGACTTGGGGACTTAATATGGGGGATGAATTACTATATGGGGGATGTATTACTATATGGGGGATGTATTACTATATGGGGGATGAATTACTATATGGGGGATGAATTACTATATGGGGGATGAATTACTATATGGGGGATGTATTACTATATGGGGGATGTATTACTATATGGGGGATGAATTACTATATGGGGGATGAATTACTATATGGGGGATGAATTACTATATGGGGGATGTATTACTATATGGGGGATGTATTACTATATGGGGGATGTATTACTATATGGGGGATGTATTACTATATGGGGGATGAATTACTATATGGGGGATGAATTACTATGGGGAATTACTATATGGGGGATGAATTACTATATGGGGGGATGAATTACTATATGGGGGATGTATTACTATATGGGGGATGTATTACTATATGGGGGATGTATTACTATATGGGGGATGTATTACTATATGGGGGATGTATTACTATATGGGGGATGAATTACTATATGGGGGATGAATTACTATATGGGGGATGAATTACTATATGGGGGATGAATTACTATATGGGGGATGAATTACTATATGGGGGATGAATTACTATATGGGGGATGAATTACTATGGGGAATTACTATATGGGGGATGAATTACTATATGGGGGATGTATTACTATATGGGGGATGAATTACTATATGGGGGATGTATTACTATATGGGGGATGTATTACTATATGGGGGATGTATTACTATATGGGGGATGAATTACTATAAGGGGGGATGAATTACTATATGGGGGATGAATTACTATATGGGGGATGAATTACTATATGGGGGATGAATTACTATATGGGGGATGTATTACTATATGGGGGATGTATTACTATATGGGGGATGTATTACTATATGGGGGATGAATTACTATATGGGGGATGAATTACTATATGGGGGATGAATTACTATACGGGGGATGAATTACTATACGGGGGATGAATTACTATACGGGGGATGAATTACTATACGGGGATGAATTACTATACGGGGGATGAATTACTATAGGGGGATGAATTACTATATGGGGGGGATGAATTACTATGCTTACTATGGGGGAATATTACTATACTTACTATGGATGACACATACACATCATTCATCTACTCTTGGTCCGGCCCCCGGGTCCAATATATGAACCCATTGCGGCCCTCAAGTCAAAAAGTTTGCCCACCCCTGGCCTAGAGCATGCCGATAGGAGTAGAGAGCAAAGTGATGGTGATAAGCTCATCACTGTGCTGCTTCTCTTTCTATAAGCTCATCCCTGTGCTGCTTCTCTTTTTACTATACAGTCACAGGCTGGGTGCAGGTTCAGGACAGTCTGGGCTCAGAGGAAGTGGGTTGAATGATGCAGTACATCCTCTGGGTCAGGTGAGCGGTGGTGTGTAGGTGACATGTTCTCTTGAAGTTGTGAAGACTATTCATACTTTCCTTTTTTCTTTTCTTTCGTTTTTTTTTTTTTTTTTCCCAACACAGGTTTGATTTTGCCGAATGGAGACATCAATTGGAACTGCCCTTGCCTGGGCGGAATGGCCAGCGGGCCATGTGGGGAGCAGTTCAAAGCGGCCTTCTCCTGCTTCCACTACAGCCAGGAGGAGGTGAAGGGCTCGGACTGCCTAGACCAGTTCCGGGCCATGCAGGAGTGCATGCAGAAATACCCCGACCTCTACCCACAGGAAGATGAGGAGGAGGAGAGCAGCAAAGACAACCAGGGAACACAGCCGGAGGCAGTAGCAGCGGAAGCCGTGGAGAACCGGGAGTCCAGCTAATAGTGGGGGAGGGGGCAGAAGCCTCCCATTCTGATCCTTTTGGCTCCCACTGTTCTGCGGACCACGAAATGGGAAGGGGAGCTGTGCTACCACTCTACTACCTTTATCCACGGGTCCACTATGATTTCCTACCATAGCTGCATTACGGCAGTCACACCTCGGGACGAACGCCATGTTGTTTCCTTCATTTCTGATCTACCTATAAGCTGGAAGTGCGATGTGTTGTATAATAATGTGATGAAATTCGAGTTAAACGTTCTGAGGTTCATTCATTTGCTTGTGAAGTTCAGGAACCACAAGCTGTAGTTGGGCTATTACTACCCTCACTTGTTCCCTAGAATCAAGATGGTGAAAGAGTTACCTCCGTAAACAACCGGCGCATAAACGCGCGCTTATCTGTGGGCAGCGTCCTGTAGATGGTCTTAGTGCCGTAGGAGAACAAGACGAACTCAAACCATTCCAAGTGCAAAAATAAAAAATGCAAAATCTTAGTTTTTTTCATTAGAAAGCAGCCACAGCTTGGGTAGTAAAGCCTGTCCCTGCCAACAGAGAAGGTCCCCTGTTTTATGTCCTTTTGCACCCAAGTACCACCGATCTGGCAAAAACTAACAGGTGATTGGTTCCCCTCCATCTGGCTGGATTTGGAGGGCAGTTGGGTGTAAACGGACAGCCGGTCCGTTTTCATCCCATAGAGGAGAGCAGGCTGTGTCTGCTCTGCATAGGCGGAGCAGACATGGACCTGTGATCCGGCTGGTCCACTCAGCGGGGAATCGGCGGACAGATCCTCTGGTGAGAAAAAAAACCGGGGCCTTAGGGCTCGTTCACATTAGCATTGCTCTGAGAAAAGTAATCCGTGTGCAAAGCGTTTGTAGAGTGTCTCCATTCACTTAAAGTGACGGGTATAATTCCTGTCTTGGCCACAAAGCAAAACTTCACGGCCACAGTATGCGGACACCCCCACCCACACCTCTGCAGCTAAAGGGGGGAGCTGGGGGTGGTAAAACCATAACTAAAAAGCAGGGTGAATGAGTTTGGTTTAGAAAGCAGCCACAGTCTTAGTAGAAAAACCTGTCCCCTGCCAGCATTGTGCAGAGAAGGTCCCATTGTGACCTGCTATCCTGCAGAGCCGAAGCTCTAAAGTTAGTAGATGTATATAAAAAGTAAGGCATTTATTAAAAGCAGCCACAGGTGGAGTAGAAAAGCCTGCCCTCTTCCAGCAGCTGAAGAATAATAGCAGCCACAACCAGAGTAGAAAAGCCTGCTGTCTGCCAGCAGCTGCAGAATAAAAGCAGCCACAGCTGGAGTAGAAAAGCCTGCCCTCTACCTGCAGCTGCAGATTAAAAGCAGCCATGGCTGGAGTAGAAAAGCCTGCCCTCTTCCAGCAGCTGCAGATTAAAAACAGCCACAGCCGGAGTAGAAAAGCCTGCCCTCTTCCAGCAGCTGCAGAATAATAGCAGCCACAACCAGAGTAGAAAAGCCTGCCAGCAGCTGCAGAAATAAAAGCAGCCACAGCTGGAGTAGAAAAGCCTGCCCTCTACCAGCAGCTGCAGAATTAAAAGCAACCACAGCCGGAGTAGAAAAGCCTGCCCTCTTCCAGCAGCTGAAGAATAATAGCAGCCACAACCAGAGTAGAAAAGCCTGCTGTCTGCCAGCAGCTGCAGAATAAAAGCAGCCACAGCCAGAGTAGAAAAGCTTGCTGTCTGCCAGCAGCTGCAGAATAAAAGCAGCTGCTGGCAGAGTAGAAAAGCCTGCCCTCTGCCAGCAGCTGCAGAATAAAAGCAGCCACAGCCGGAATAGAAAAGCCTGCCCTCTGCCAGCAGCTGCAGAATAAAAGCAGCCACAGCCGGAGTAGAAAAGCCTGCCCTCTGCCAGCAGCTGCAGAATAAAAGCAGCTGCTGGCAGAGTAGAAAAGCCTGCCCTCTGCCAGCAGCTGCAGAATAAAAGCAGCCACAGCCGGAATAGAAAAGCCTGCCCTCTGCCAGCAGCTGCAGAATAAAAGCAGCCACAACTGGAGTAGAAAAGCCAGTCCTCTGGTTGTGGCTGCTTTTAATATGCAGCTGCTGGCAGAGTAGAAAAGCCTGCCCTCTGCCAGCAGCTGCAGAATAAAAGCAGCCACAGCCGGAGTAGAAAAACCTGCCCCCTGCCAGCAGCTGCAGAATAAAAGCAGCCACAGCCGGAATAGAAAAGCCTGCCCTCTGCCAGCAGCTGCAGAATAAAAGGAGCCACAACTGGAGTAGAAAAGCCAGTCCTCTGGTTGTGGCTGCTTTTAATATGCAGCTGCTGGCAGAGTAGAAAAGCCTGCCCTCTGCCAGCAGCTGCAGAATAAAAGCAGCCACAACTGGAGTAGAAAAGCCAGTCCTCTGGTTGTGGCTGCTTTTAATATGCAGCTGCTGGCAGAGTAGAAAAGCCTGCCCTCTGCCAGCAGCTGCAGAATAAAAGCAGCCACAGCCGGAGTAGAAAAAAAACCTGCCCCCTGCCAGCAGCTGCAGAATAAAAGCAGCCACAGCCGGAATAGAAAAGCCTGCCCTCTGCCAGCAGCTGCAGAATAAAAGGAGCCACAACTGGAGTAGAAAAGCCAGTCCTCTGGTTGTGGCTGCTTTTAATATGCAGCTGCTGGCAGAGTAGAAAAGCCTGCCCTCTGCCAGCAGCTGCAGAATAAAAAAGCAGCCACAGCCGGAGTAGAAAAAACCTGCCCCCTGCCAGCAGCTGCAGAATAAAAGCGGCCACAGCCGGAGTAGAAAAACTTGCCAGACACTCAGCTGAGCCTGAGCTCTCCAATCCACAGTAAGCAAGTTCTTACTGATTGTAGACTTATTGGTGTGACTCAGTGGGAGGCATATCAGGCCTCTGCAGAGAGGCCGCTGCTTTTCCCACAGTGAGAGGGTCCTTCTCTGCGGCTTGCTGGCAGGAGACAGACCTTTCTATCCTAGCTGTGGCTGCTTCCTGAAGGAAATGAACTACAATACTTTGCACGTCTTTTGTTTTGATGGACCTGGAATGTATTCTGAAAGTTGACTTTTGGCATCTGCCACGTGTCCACCCTAGAAGTTGCCTGTTAAAGAGTCGGTTCAGAAGACGTTTTGGAGGAGATTTACTGAAACTGGAGCGTGCAAAATCTGGTGAAGCTCTGCATGGTAGCCAATCAGCTTCCAACTTCAGCTTGTTCCTTTAATCTGTGACTATAAAACCTGGAAGCTGATTGGTTCCTGTGTGGAGTTGCAGCAGGTTTTCAGCGCTCCAGTTTTAGTAAATAACCCCCATTATGTTTCCTGGAGCATGTCAATTGGGTGTACACCCTCCTTCCCCTCCTTCCACAGTCACTCCTCTTGATGCATATCCCTTGATAGGAAGTTGGGTTCAGAACCAAAACAGGGAGTGTAGGACCCCAACCCACCCACCCCCCCCCCCCCCCCCCCCCCCCCCCCCCGATGGCTGTGTCCAGACCCAGGAACTCAAGTGCAAATACCCCCCAGCAGGGTCCACCAGAGATTTTAAGAGCCTCCGGGTGATTCATCTCTTCAGTATCTACCAAAAAGTAAAATGCACGAATATGGGGGGACTGGACCCTCCGAGGTTATAAGGACCTGGTGACTCTTCTCTCTTCGTTTTGCCAAGGCTGAGCCGTAGACGCTGGAATCAGAACATTCACTCTCCAATTATGTCTGTGCCTGAAACCCGATTGTTCCACCGCTGCCTCTCCTCCACACTGCACTGAATCAGCCAGACTCTGCCCGTGACGCTGTGTGACCAGGTGTGCTACTTGAAGAAATTAAAACCTTTTTACCTTTTGTTGCAGAATGCCTAAATCTGTTTTATTCATGTGAGATTCTTACACTGGAGGCGACTTTCACACTGCGCTGTATCAAAGACGCATGTGCGCTTTTCCTGCGTTGTTAAATGTATGCCAAGGCATGATGCGTTGTTGCCCCGCCTTTGCATCGTGTATTCCCCAGAGCACCTCCCACTATTCTAATGCAATTGTGATGCGACTTCAGAAGTTCTCAAGCGAGGGATCACAGAATCGCATGACAAGGGAAATGACATATTTGGACGTCAGTGGGCGATTCCAGCCCCATAGACTTCTATGTTATCTCACAGAAGTCGTATCAACATAGATAAAAGGCATCCCTCCTTCCTTCCATCCAAGGACCCTTCTTTTGTTTTTATTCTTTTGCTTTTCCTTTCTCCTTTCTTCTCTCTTCTCCCCTCCTCTGCCCTCCTCTCTCCCCTCCTCTGCCTCTGCCCCCTCTCTCCCCTCCTCTCTCTCCTCCTCTCCTTTCCTCTCCCCTCCTTTCTCCCCTCCTCTCCTCTCTCCCCTCCTTACTTCGCCCCCCCTCTCCTCTCCTTTTCTCCCCTCTCCTCTCCTTTCTCCCCCCTCCCCCTCCTCTCTCCTCTCTCCCCTCTCCTCTCTCCCCCTCTCCCCCCTCATCCTCTCTCCCCTCCTCTCCTCCTCTCCCCTCCTCTCCTCTCTCCCTCTCCCCACCTCTCCTCTCCTCTCCTCTCCTCCTCTCCTCTTCCTCTCCCCTCCTCTCCTCTCCTCTCCCCTCCCTCTCCTCCTCTCCTCTCTCCCCTCCTTTCTCCTCTCTCCCCTCCTTTCTCCTCTCTCCCCTCCTTTCTCCTCTCTCCCCTCCTTTCTCCTCTCTCCCCTCCTTTCTCCTCTCTCCCCCCTCTCCCCTCCTCTCTCCCCTCTCCCCTCCTCTCCTTTCTCCCCTCTGCCCCCTCCTCTCCTTTCTCCCCTCTTCCCTCCTTTTCTCCCCTCTTCCCTCCTTTCTCCCCTCTTCCCTCCTTTTCCCCCTCTTCCCTCCTTTCTCCCCTCTTCCCTCCTTTCTCCCCTCTTCCCTCCTTTCTCCTCTCTCCCCTCCTTTCTCCTCTCTCCCCTCCTCTCCACCTATAAAACATGCAGAATGTACATAGGATCTCTCAGCTCTGAAAAGAAGAGGGCGGGGAGCTGAAGTTAAGTCGAGCTGATTGGAGGGAAGGGGCACCCCCCCCCCCCCCCA